GGCCTCCTGCTTGGAGGAGGGGTCTCCCATCCTCTAGTCCATAGGCGTCATACCTTGGATGCTCTTCCTTGAAGTCTCAGCTTGCCAAACTTCTTTCTCAGCTCAGTTTCCCAACTTTGGCTTCATAGAGTCCTATTCTGTCCAGTTTTTCTACCTTTGGTCAGGAGCCTCTGCCGAGGGTTGCTACTAGTATACCATCTTTCCAGCATTCTTGCATCTATCTTTTCATTTGTAAGAAGAAAGTAATGATGCCAATCTCAGAGCATAGCTTTGAAGATTTGAAGAGATAAAGTCTAGAAATAACAAGTTATAGGCATCCAGCATTTAGGACGCCCTCAAGAAATTTAACCACATCATTCTAAATTTGCCTCCTTCATTCTGTCGATGTGATGCCTCTTCCATTAATGTAATAGTATGACTACCAGGAACAATAATTGCAGACGCAACAGCAAGGAAAAATAATCCCACATTTCCATTATGTGTGCGTTTCAGTGTCACTGTTGTGTGGGGGAGAGTATTGTGTGGTGGAGCTGGGTTACAGGAAAAGCTTCATTACATGGCATGAGAAGGGGCACGCAAGATATCATCACCCCATCCCCTGAGTTTCATGTGTTTTCCCATCCTTGTACTTCTCTCTCTATTCCATATGCTTTTTAAGGAAATCCTATTTCTTCCTTTTGTAGTGTAGCATATGACAAGGGTATGGACTCTTCCCTAGGTTAGGAGCTGATAGAAAAAGGCCCAAGTACATTGTGGAGTCTGCTAAACAAATTCCTGGAGCAAGAGTGCAGAAATCATGCTTTTTTCATTGGGAAAGTTAGGTCAGTCTCCACCTTTTGACCATCCTCATTTATACTTAAGGATAACAATTCCCATTCCTCCCAACAACGAGTTATAGTGTGGAGTTTAATTGTGCTTCCATGTTGGAAAGCAATCTGTAGTCTTAAGTGGAAGGAAAGGTCCAGGGCACATTCAAATAAATATATCCACAGCAACACCCCAGATGTGCCAGAATTCTGCATGGTGGGCATCAAATTAATGGTAGTTACATGCCAGCTGTTGGTATCAGGATTTCTTAAATCCAGATTTTGGGAAGTTCTCTGTAAAAATAGCAGATAATTGGTTTCACCATAAGTGAGCTGATCAAAGTCAAGAAAATATCTATATATTGGATAATTTCACCAGTTGGTTCTTTTTCTCATCTTGTTTCTTTTTTTCATTAATGGTTTTAATTACGTGATTATAATTATATGATTTCAACCATTCAATATTTTGTATCAAAGCCAGTTAACAATACACAATACTTTCAAATGTGACAATATATGTATTAAGCTATATACATATTCAAACTTTCCAGGCCATTATGACACTTTATCATAAAAACACCATTAGGAAAATAAACATTCTTTCAACCAGTTCTCTAGACTTTAAAAAATATTATGAGAAATATACATTGTAATAAAAAAAATCAAGACAATGATTGATCAAATACTGATTATGTTTTAAAAGCATATTCTGTGGATTTGTGATAAGGTCCACTAAAGTTTTGTATCCTTTGATGTCTAATTTCATTGTTATTTTCTTCTTCTCTTACTGAGATTGGCTGACTGACAGCATTGAGTTATATTTACCTGGATTGAGTTTAAGTATATTCTCCTTAGTAAAAGTATCACAAGAATGTAAAAGCAATTAACTGATACACTGAATACAAATATGAAACCAGTAGATGTACAAAAACACATATACAAGTGAAAAAAACAGTTAAACTCAAGTGATGGGGGAGAGCAGAGGATAGAGGGAAAGAGAGGGGAGAAGACATTGAGATTTCTAAGCTGTCACCTAATGGCCACAGTGCATGTGTATATGGTTTTATTAAAGAGACATGCCTTACATAATACTATCAAAACTATAATAAATCTTCCTATGTACATTTTATATGATAGAATAAGTCACATTTGTTGATCTTCTACTGTGTGCTTACCACATCACTGTTTTCATATACTAACTCAAGTAACCTTCAAGGCAATAACCCTTAAAGAAGGGAAAGTAAATTTCCCCACTTTCCAAAAGAAGAAACTGAGGCAAAAATAGGCTGTTTCACTTTCCCCAGGTCACAGAAAACTGGGTGTTTTAATGACTTGGCAGTGGTATATATTTTTTTATTTCTAATATTTCTAATTAATATGAGGTTCATATAATTAGGTTATATTGTTTGCACTAGTTAGGAAAAGTCTGAGTTGTATTTGAGTCCTTCACCCAGGAGCTGTGACATATACCGTTACATTGTACTTGTTAGTTCGAAGCTTGCTGACCCCCTTCCCTCCTGCTCTCTCTCCCACCCCACTCACCCGTTCTAGAATTTAATTGTGTTTTTCCACTCATGTGGGAATCTAGTTGTGCTTCTCTTGGTTTCAAATTAGTATTGAGTACACAGGATGCTTGTTTTTCCATTCCTGAGTACGTTACTAAAAGAAAATGTGCTTCAATTCCATCCAGGTAACTGTAAAATTTGTAAAATCTGTTTATTTTGTATGGTGCAATAGTATTCCATGATAGGTACATACCACAGTTTATTAATCCATTCATCAGTTGATGGGCACTCAGGTTGTTTCCACATCTTGGCAATTGAAAAGTGAGCTATGATAAATAATCTAGTACAAATGTCCTTAGAATTCCTGGCTTCCCTTTTACGAAACTAATTTATAGCTCTCAAATGAAAGATACAACTTAATTCTAGCCCAAGAATATGGGGAGGGGGTGGGGAAGGGGAGGGG